TGAATATCGAAGTCACAGGTGATAAGAATTGCATAATCGAAATCACAAACCAAACTGAAAGAGAAACGGGCCAATGTACTTTTTTTAAATTAATCATAAAACTACCTTAGTTTGGTGTAATCTAAATAATTTTAAATTTTGAATAAAACGTTGATCCATTTTTTTAGGATGATCAGATATAGATCTTTCTTCTTCCTGAACAAAAATATTTCTTCATTAGAAATTTTTTTTGCTCTTGAAGAAAAGGGACTGTGCATGATAGGCTGCGAAATCAATAGTTTCCTTCAAAATCTACACCAAAATAATGTTTCTTTAATGCCTAATATAAGTTTTTTCTGAAATTGGTGCACATAATTTTCTTTCTCAGTTCGAAAATATTTTAACCTGGGTGCCTTAAGCTTTCAAAAAAGCATCTATCGCAAAAATCGTTCGCCAATTTAATCAAAATAATAATTTAATTTGATGCGCATTTAATAAAAGAATAATTTTTCATATAAAGAAAGTTGCAACTAACCTAATGATTTAATCGCAAAATATCAGGTTTCAAAGTGGACTGATTTTGGCTACGTTCTACTGACATCTTTCAGTTTTTTCCTAATAGTTCAATAGTATTCAAATAAAAATCATTTAAAATGCATATTGAGGCGCAGAATCTGACAATAAAATTAATATTATCGCAACACAAAGAATGTAGAGAATATAAAAGTATTTGGATGGGTTTGGAACTCGATTATTTTAAGATTCCCTAAGAACATTCTATTGTTCAAATCAGGAAATGGATTCTCGAAGCCTTTGAAAGGACATTGTGTAAAGACGGGGTGCGTAAGCTTCAGACAGTCTGAATCGCACTTTCAAAACCACCCACTTCATCATGAAAGTTTTCATGCAATTCAGAAATATAAGCGTAAAAACAGTATTGCAAAATTCCTCTCTGCGAAGGTGAATGCGTTTTTTCTTAACTGGGAATAATTTTCAGTTAAAAACAATTGGAAAGTTCACCGAAGATAGTGTCGAAATAATCCTAATAACAGTTTCATGTAGGACTATATTAAACGTAAAATTTATAAAGGTACCCGCATTCATTCCAGAAAGTAAAATAAGTAATTACATTTGAGATTAAGACTATAAATTCCAGATTTCTAAATCCTGTAATTACTGAGTTTATAAACACTGTACAGCAAAATTCATTCATTCTTTTAACTATCTAATATTAACCTGAGTTATCCTTTATAGCTTCAAATTTGTATCCTTTTAATTTCTGTTACAATATACTGTATGAATGAATTCAGTTTAAAACGAAAAAAGAATTCTGTTTTTCAAAACTTAGGTAAGAAGCGTTAGGGTCCAGAGTTTTAAAGGAATTATAAGCGTGTTCTTATACTACTAAATTTCATAATACGTAAGCATGATAGGTATATTTTTAAGGTTATTTATCGTTTCAGATATTGTTAATATGTTTTCTTACGTGCGTACGGTTTCATATTGGGTTAAATGCACACAGAACTCATGATAGCTTGATAAAATTTGTTTTGTTAAAAGAAACACTTTACAGTGTTCCACAAAAGTATTCGTAGAGTTGTTCTCAGCATGACAGAGCACAATGAGTAGCTACCACTTCAAACTACTAAGAATGTTGAACACAACGCAATGTAAAGAGCACGAAGAACTCTCAGTATTTCGAATTCCGAAGTCAACCCTGAACTAAAAACCAAGAACTGGTGCTCTCTCCGGTCTTATACAGTTTCCTCCAGACTATCGAGAAACCTCCAGTAAATTTCACTTCTCAAAATTATTGGAAGGCATTTACGGTTACAGTTTCATATACGGCCGGATACCGTTAAACGGGAATTAGATAAATTACAGTTATAGAGGAATTGGACCAAAATATCGCCAAATTTGTCAACCTTTTGGCGATTTCTTGCCAAATTTGGTGATTACTTTGTCAAAGCTATGGAGGCCAAATCGACATTAGAAGTAAAGCACTGCTCCGAAGCTTCGGTCACCAGATGGGGTGTTTTTAGTTGACATTCAGAAGATAAAAATTCTGTTGTCATTCCCTTCTTTCCATCAATTAACTATAAAGTTGCACATATTTTGCAGAAATTTAACTTTCGGGTTGTTTATTCTCCCATCAATAAAATTCCGAGTTCCATACTTAAGGACCCCATTCCGGATATGAATTCCTGGGGTATTTATAGGATTCCTTGTCAGTGTGGTTTAATTTACATTGGCCAAACTAAGAGAGCCTTAAAATCTCGCGTCAAGGAACATGAGGCATATGTTAGAAAAGAGGAAACACAGAAGTCTTCTGTTGCGCAACATTTTTGGTCCGAAAATCACACTTTCAATTTTTCTGCTGCCAAAATTATTCAAAAAACGTCTTCCATTGGAGAACTGGATTTTCTAGAGGCATTTCACATTCATAAAATCTTTCTGTTCTAGTTAACGATCCTAATTCCAATCCAAATTTGCCTTCGCCCTTTAAAGAAATTATGTTTTAGTTCTGGTTTCACCAACAGATGGCGCCACTTGGTTATTCTTGTCCAGGCTTTCTTATCTTATCTAATCATTTTTTCCTATCTTGTTCATTTGCGGTTTTGCAGCTGAGGATGGTGGTTCGGTAAAACCATCAAAACTAGTCCTGTGGAAATTTTGTAAATATAACGCTGATGTTTGTTGTTTGTCTTCGGAATTAGTATTTATTCGGCGTGTTATTGTGTCTTAATTATTCAGGAGCTCGCTTGACAACGCTCTGATAGTATTTCGACACACGACAGTTCCATGCGAATCGAAAAAAGGGCCACTTCCGAATAAAAGAAACATTTCTAATATGATGGATAATACAATTTGTATAGTTTAGCGACATTTACGCAAAAATCACATCTTGGTTATTTTTCGATAACTAACACTAGCGATTTTGATTATGAATTTGTTTCATAAAATTCTAAGCTGTTGAACTATAAAAATATAGATTTTAGCAAAAACGTTATGCTTAAAGAATGAAAAATACCTCACCGTACCTTTAAAATTGTATAATATTTCGATACCCTTAATACAGTATTCGCTACTTTTATTTTATGTTCCAAACGTCAAAATGTTTTAAATAAAAAAATTTGTTTACACATCCACATATTATTGCAACATGTACTTTTAAAAATTAGTGTAAATTACTTTACTCGAAAAATATAGTGAATGCACAGAAATAAAAGATTTCCACATGCCGGAAATGAAAAATATGAAATATGTATGGATATTTATGCATGTGCTTCCAAAAAGCATGTATCTGCCTTTAACAAACTACGTAAATACTTATTAAATTATTTATAAATGTATTTGAAATGAAGGATTTATTCATTCATAAATAACTGTGAAAGTTACTGTGAAGAAATCTAATTATTAAATGTATCTAAATTTATAATGATTATAAATATTATCTAAATACATAATAACCTTAACATTGAATTGCAAACATAAATTGACATCCTGTTGACAAATACGTTATAAAACTATTTAAGCAAGAGTTGTTCCTACTGGAAAGCAATCTGTTAAAAGGTATTGTAAAGCAATTTCTATGAGATGCGTATTTAAGAAAGTAATAGAAGAATTTTGAAACATGTATTGTTGAAATTAAGGGTAAAAAAATCTAATAAGTATAATTAAAAGAATTATTCCCCTTACATTTTATAATCAGTTACAAGTTTTAAATAATATTTAAAAACTAATCCTTACTTTATTCCCTTTCAGAAATATTCAGAGAAAGTTAAGTACTATTTAAAGTATTTCGCTAGTAAATTAAAAGGTGCTCTAATTTGAAATGGACCGAATAGAGTATTAATTATAAACTGATTTATAGTTTTCGATTTAAAAGATGCCTCAGTAGCTAAAACATCATGACATATTTGAGAATGTATTTTAGGAAGAAGCTCTATATATAGAAAAGAAATAATGCATAATTTTAATAATACAATAAACTTTGATCTTAATTTTTGTAATCTTTAACCGAATCAAATCGAATTACCTTAATTTTTTTTCTAATGTAATTAACGAAAACTTGTGAAAATATTTTAAATTAAACCATTCTGAGCAAACTGTTCTGTGAAAAGTATAGCATTTAATTCCGTTCAGAATGAAATGTTGTTTAAAAATGTATTCTTTTCATAAACTTAGGACTCTTAAGTCTTGTAGAAAAAGAAAATATATACATTTATATGCATATTTACGAGGTAATTAACTATTTACATCCGATCGTGTCAAAACCCATTGAACTCAATGGTAAATGACCCAATGTTTTGGTCACCAAAGAAGAGATTACCAGTGCTTCAAAGCAGAGTATGGGGAAAACGATTTAGGGTATTTTAGGGTAACTCCATCTAACGTCCTACCTCCATGGTCAAAGCCACTGCCAGCTTAGCGCTGTCTCGCCAACAGCCATTTTCCTCAATAGTAAATGGGCTTGCCCCTGTAATCTAATTTTTTGAGCGAACTTCGTCTGAGGCATTTTATGTTACATTCTACAAGGAATACTGTATACAAGAGATGTTGTTTACACGTAATTTCCTTAAAATTATTAGCATATATATAAAATTTTTAACAATATGTATTGTTTGCTCATAAATGATAATACTTCTGCTATTTACTTCTTCGTTGTAGAATATTATTATAATTTCTAAAAAAACTAAAAACTAAACTCAGTGGCGTAACAGCCCTAATGGGCCAATGCCTTCAGTGCCTCGAAATCTGCTTTCTTGACCGTGGGCCCAGGGGTGCGTGAGCCCTGAACAAGTGGTGGTCAGCTTGTCGCAGGACTCCAAGCGAACTTGGTACTCATTTTATCGGCCCAAAGGATGGAAATCAAAGGATGAAAGACTGAGTCGACTTTGCCCAGCCCGGGGATCGAACCCCGGACGTGATGCTGCTGCACGACGCGCTAGTATTATAATTTCTAATACGGTAATAACAAGTGAAAAAGACAGGAACAAAAGAAAACTGTGGATACTTACATTTCCGGTACTTTTCCAGTAGATAAAAAATCCAAGATCGTCTACGCGGAAGAGAGCATCTTGTTCATAATTCGTCTCTTCCTTATCCTAAAAATGAAAAATGTATTGATATTTTAAAAGAAATTTCTTTGGAAGCTGCTACTTAGTAACTAATAATTACTATTTAAAAGCATTATTTTGTTTCTGTAGCTTGTATGAAGCTTTTTAATATAAGCTTATAATGATTTAGTATTTATATTATCGATATAAATACTATCATTACATAACCATTGATTTGATATTACCTTTGTCACAAACATCAAATGTTGTCCCATTGTGTACTAACTTATGTTTATTATGTCCAGAATAAAGAAGAGTTTCTGCTGCTTTTAAAAAATCACTTACATGTTTTGAAAATATAGAGGAGAAGCACAGTTTATAAAGAAAACGTGTGAAAGCCGAAAACGTAAATTTAACAACAATATGTATTCCATGCATACCAGTTAAACAGAATTTGCCTCACAAATACGGCCGGCGCAATATCTAAATAAGGTTTAGTTTCTATAAATAGATACAGTGGATGGACAAAAATATGGAAACACCTTGTGAAATGCATGTTTGAAAAGAAAGATTGATTTTAATGAAATATGTAGGTGGTGCTGGCGTTTTTGACTACTGACGCCACCTATACAACTTCGTAAATGTGCTAAACAGTTCAGTTGTTGTCGGAGTACTGTTATGTGAGGTTGTCATTGCATCATGTCAGAGTTAACAGACTTCGAACGTGGGCAAATTGTTGGAGCACGTATGGTAGGTGCTTCCGTAAGCAAGGTAGCCGAGGTGTTTAGTGTTTCAAGAGGTACTGTATCGAAGATTTATTCCGCATATTTGAAAAGCGGAAAAACATCATCTGCTAAATCACAGCGCGGACGAAAGTGTGTCCTGAGTGATCGTGACAGACGATCATTAAGGGCAATTGTGACGAAAAATAAGAAGACCACAGCTGCAAAAGTTACTGCTGAAATGAATGTTGTGTTACCGAACCCTGTGAGTACCAAAACAATTAGAAGGGAGCTTCATAAACAGGGAATTGCTGGCCGTGCTGCAATTGAGAAGCCACTCATCAGTGATGCTAATGCCCGTAACAGGAAAAGGTGGTGTTTAAGTCATAAAGCCTGGACTATAGAGCAGTGGAAGCGAGTAATATGGTCTGACGAGTCTTCTTTCACATTGTTTCCCACTTCTGGCCGAGTTTACGTCTGGAGAACGCCATCTCAAGCCTATAATACAGACTGCTTGTTGCCAAGAGTGAAACATGGCGGGGGTTCTGTTATGGTTTGGGCAGCCATATCGTGGTTCTCTGCTAGCCCCATGATAACTGTGTCAGGGCACATGACTGCCAAGACTTATGTGAACATTTTGGCCGATCAAGTTCATCCCATGGTACAAACTTTGTTCCCCGATGGTGATGGTGTCTTCCAAGACGACAAAGCCCCTGTTCACACAGCTCACATTGTCCAGGACTGGTTTTCTGAGCACGAGGATGAGTTGTCCCATCTCCCCTGGCCACCACAGTCACCAGACCTGAATATTATCGAACCTTTGTGGTCTACATTGGAACGGAAAGTGCGTTCTCGTTATCCACCGCCAACATCGTTATCTGAACTTGCCACCGTTTTGCAGGAAGAATGGTATAATATTCCCTTGGCAAACATACAGGAACTGTATTTATCCATTCCGAGAAGACTGCAAGCTGTTTTGGATGCCAACGGGTTTCCTACACCATATTAAGCAAAGAAACATGTTTTTTTTTAAAAGGTGTTTCCTTTTGTCCAACCCCTGTATACTGTAAGCTGAAATGTTTTCTCTTCAAAATTTACCAAATTCAAAATCAATATAAGAGAATGAGAAAAAAACAGGTTCAAAACATCTCAGGCAAAAAATGAAGCAGAAATAGAGTGGAAGTTTCCATCAATCCCTGCAATAAATGTAGGCTCACGATAACAGATTTTACTTTTAGCAACCCTAACTGATTGGTTTGGTTTGGTTTATTTGATTACGGCACAACGCTTGAGGGCTATCTGCCTAACGGAAAGGATGCCTTCGTGCCTTCTAATGGAAACTGGCTCGCACAAAATAGGAAAAATCATGAACACGCCCATGCAGCCATCCTATTGTCGGATTTCGGACTTCGAACCGAAATAACCAGTGTTCAACGACTGTACTGCTCAACCTCTGGTCGGCGTAGCCCTAGTGGGAGCTAATATTATTTTTATCCTTTCGTTCGTCTTATATACGATCTGAGGTATCTCTGCTAGTTTAATTTTCTGTGAAATATGTATGAGTTTGTCTGGAAGACAAGGGGAATAGAAATTCTTATATGGAAAATTTCAAACGTAGATGATTAAATGATAGCGTTTGCCGAAAATTGTAACAACAGTATTGCTTCTCGGCATTTCTTGATAAATGAAAAACAAGTTCAAGAGTGGAGGAAAAAACGCCAGCCATATAAACACTTTCGAAAACAAAATAACAATCATTTCCATAAAACGATTAATATTACTTTAAAATTACATTTTTTTCCTCATAAACTTACGAAATTAAAATTATAGAAATAAAAAAGTGCTATATTTGGCGATTTATTGCTTACGCCCGGTTAACGGAAAGCTACCTTCGATTTCTGGAGATCAATGGTTTCATATAAAAGCTGATCCCAGTAATTTAGAAAACGTTCCAAAAATTCTCGGCTTATCCACGGAAATATACGGTAATTATAAGTTTCAAATATCGGTTTTTAATCGTTCATGGATTCTAATAAATTTAATCCAATGCATTTAGTTAGACTTATTTTTATTTGGATTTTTGAATGACAAAACATGGCAAAAATACACACACTGGTCGATGAATTAGAAACCTTTGAGATTTTCATTTGAATGCGTACTAGGGAGGAAGTAATCAAATATGTTTATGATGTGGTTTACGCGAGTTTAGAATGCTAGTGTAAGTAAGGTGTAAGAGTGCTTTTTATGATGAATGAAGTAAAATGTGAAAAACGGCAGATCTTTCACCATTTGAAAAAGGGCTTATTGTTGGTGCCTGTTTAGCAAGGGCATCGATTTCGAAGCCAGCAAATCTCACTAGGTTCTCAAAAGCAGCCATATCAGAAAGCCTAACAAAATGCGGCTGTTCCCGCAGGATATCGCTTCAGTGGTTTGTAGTGGAACATAATTTAATGTTTTTATATAATTAATAAGATTTTCTAATTGGCAACATGATGTAATGTTTTTGTATAGTTATTAAGATTCGCTGTGTGGCAACAAGGATTTGAGTTTAAAAAAGTTGTTACTTGGAATTGCGTTGCGTAGCCTTATTTCTTAAAAAGCATGTTATATTACTTTTATGTCAAAAAAAAATAAGTAATATGTTTCAAATAAGAATGGAAGTAATATAAAATAAATATGCTGTTTTTTAAGACCAAAATAAGCATTTATTTAAATTAAGAAATGCTCTGGCTGTTTAGTTTCGATTTCCTTTTTTCATCAATACCCACAAGTTTCTAAAAGATTCTTAATCTATAGGAAATAATCTCACAGTCTCAGAGGAGAGGCGGTTCCATCTCCAGCCCAATCCAACAACGAAAAAGCAACCAATGCGGAAACTCCGAATGTTTCTAATAACGGAGTATACCAATATCCAAAGGAGGAGCGCTAAACTCCCGTCTCTTAGAATTAAAGACTCTGGTTACATTTGGAAGAATCTGACGAATATACTGGAAGATTCAAGTATCCCAGACTAAGAACAAATAAAATCAGATAAAGAGTTTCACACGAAACTCTTCACCGTTGATTCGCCAATAAGAAAATCGAGTATTATGCATAAAAGTTTCAGAGTAATTAGTAAGTAATGATATATGTACTGAATTAGTAAGAATTAGAAATTTCATACACACAAGCTTCAGTGTGATAAAGACTTAAAAGTCGTATAATTTGAAGTCTTCCAAGCTCCACTAATGTAGATGAAATTGAGAAAGCACTAACTGTTGAAGCATTTCAGATAAATAAGGTCATCCAAATGATTCGACGCAGAGATCTGGAAATAATCAAAATGCCTTTTTCCCGTTCATGCTCCCCAAAACAGAGCATTCAAGACATATTCACAACCTTCACTACCTAATACATTCGAGAATATCAATGGTATCATAAAAGGCCGAAGAAGTGTTACACAATGTTCCAGACGCCGTGCATTCTTTCGTATTCAGTGTAAACAAGCATCAAAGTGTGAGAAATTCGGAGGTGATAATGAATCGAAATCACGCAATAAAGCCAAAACAGACTTCCCCCACGGTGTGCCAGCTTTGAACAATCTCATACTTCAAGTTTCAAAAGTTGCCCTATTTATTTTAAACAGTGCTTAGCCTTTGTGAAAAGTGATGCGACTTACGCGGATCACATAATTAATAACAACTAGATAACAAGCATGATGCAGACAACGACTCAGGTTTATTGGCTAGCACGAATACTTGAGAAAGCGAAAATCGTCGCTAGAAAATTCAAAGAAGCCTTTGCATTGTTTAATACCAAAACGCTGCAGATTGCACAAGCTATAGTTCATCGAACCTGGAACCTCGCAGTGCAATATAGATAGTGCAGCTCCCTATCAAGTGCTGTCTCATCAAAATGGAGAATTGAGATGGATCAAAGAGAGAAGAGGCTTCGCGAATAAGCCTTTTTGCTGCACATCTTTTCCATAGAGATGTGGCGATGGGTGGAGGAGCACCAGTTTGCATCCTTACAATGTCATCAACGAGATAGAGAAGAAATTTTTTCGCGACGTCTGTACGTACGTATGTATGTGTCTCGCATAACTAAAAAACAAGTAGCCTCAGAACGTTGAAATTTTATACATGGGACTGTTATAACACGTAGTTGTGCGCCTTCCTTTTTGGTTGCAATCGGCCGTCTCTAACGTATATATGTGTGTGTGTGTGTGTGTGTAAGATAAAAAATATGAAAGCAAACTTCTAAATTTAATTCACTAATAACCTCTTTTATTATCTATTTTATTTGGAAACTTCATGTATCTGTCCTAAAAATAGCGCTTAATTCTAAACTGCGTCATTCAAATTAATCATGCGATCTTACCGTAACCGTTAATGCAGATGCCTCTTGACCAATCCCCAAATTGCAAACCAAAACTTTTCTCTTCGCGTGCTTCCATCTTGCATAACTACGCACTTCAGCTTTGCTCTCTACTTTGCTAAGATTTAATTTCGCTAGCTTGCTTTCTATCTCGACAATATCAAAAATGTAAATCTTCTGTGGAAAGGCACGACTAGAGTGCCAAGTGATTGTGGCCACGAATATCAGTTGCAAATAAAAATGGAATTAAAATGGCCTCGACTGCCAAGTTCTTTAGATGTTGCCAGGTTAACATTATTGGCATACTGCGCAATCAGAATTCTTCTTTAATACGGATCTAAGCACGCATCGACACTGCTCCGGCTTTTCCTTGTGCTTTTATTAATACATATGTATACACTTACTCCATTACCCGATTCGGTGAGCTTTTTATTATTCTCATATTTTGGTGAATTATGCATTTTTTGCTTTAAAAGTGATTGAATTATGTTGTTCTTATGTTCCGGTTAAGGTTTTTATGACTTTATTTGAAGCCGCCGTTTGTTTACATTTGAAACTGTTAGTAGAATAGTGAATTAAGTCAGTTTGTACACCAACTTCAGTGTCTTTTTGCCGAGTGGACCAAAAGCAAACTTTCAGATTTGTGCAACGAAAAATCTGTTTTCCTGCTCGCTGGCCGAATTGTTTGTTTCTGCGCAGAAGCTCTAATTTTAATTGTAATTTTTTAAAACTTTATTTCATGTTTTATGGTTTTCAGTATTTTACAATTTTTAATGAAAATGTTTTAAGTTTTTATGTATTTTTGCCTTGCCGCGAAGTGAGAACTGAATTAATTGAATGAGAAATACATCTGCAATGCAATTTGAGAAACAATTTAAATGAAGTGCAGCAAAAAATGTATATAATTTAAAAGGTCAATACAAGTCGTGTGGTGTCCACATCAGATTTTTCTACAATATTCTCTATTTTCTTGGACAAATAAAGTCCGCCTTTTAATAGAAAAGGAGATAAATTTCGCTATTTCTTGTTTTAATGTCGTGCATTTGATATAAATAGTAAAATTACTCTCGTTTATAAACATTTAACTGACATACTCCAGAATTTAATAACTGAATAAAATACTGTATTTTGACAGTAGTAGTAAACCCTTATATGGGCGTTGTGTTTTATAGAATTACCAGAGGATGTCTACAATATACATCTGCATCAGGGTTCCTAATTACATATTGCTGAGCTACCTTTGATATCAATTAGATATTTATGAAATTTGCATGCTAAATTGAAGAAAAAGGTGTGAAGTAAATTAATTTTATCTTTTCAAAAGTGTATTGGGTTACTTTTAATAATTATTGGCCAATTACAACAAAGGCTAACTTGCAGACCTGATCAAAAGACATGCACCGAAACAAAAACTGTCGAATTCTCATGCTAAGTGAATGAGTTTCGTCACATGTTAAAAAGAGACAGTTATTAAACAAGAAATTAGCGATTTTGCACAACTTCAGACTTGGACATAATGCGTCCGAAACGTTCGTCATTGTCCATAATGCATGGGGTGTCAACATGAGGAGAAACAGATCTGTTTGTTGAATGTTCTAAGATCGATGCCGATGATGTTGATATTTACCATAAACCTGGAGCCGGTTAATTGCCTGAATGTGATATGGTGCAATTAAGGCAGAAAATAAAAGAAAACTAAAATCCACAGTATTTGAGCTTAGTGCCGAATCGCATCATTTGTAGACACCTGACAGAAGTGGATGTAATAAGAAAATTAGATATCAGCATTCTTTACGCATCAACCGAACAGCAAAGAATTCGGTGTCTGGAAATGTACATTTCCCTCCAGAAACGTATGAGGAAAGTGTTCTTTTTTACTATTACACCCTTAATAATAAAATGGGTATTTTACGGCAAAAGAAAACGGATAGTGCCGTGGCTGAATGAAGGGGAAATACTGAAAAATGCGAAGCTCAACTTGCATCCATTGAAGATTTTAAACCTCTGAAGGATGGATTTCCAAGTCCGTGGAGATTATCTATTGTTGTCTGACAGCGATGGAATGTTCATACTCAGAGATGGCATATTCCTGCAAGATCAAACATGATTTTATGTCTTTGTTCGAAGGACATAAAACTTCATCGTTTTTGGATATGACGTTCTTTTTTATCTTACGTATTCACCAAACTTGCCTCCTTCATATTCTTACATGATCAGTCATCTGGATCGCATTCGCTAACCAAGATGCTGTTGTTCAGAGATCTAAAACTAGCCCATGGGCCGCGTGATGCTCCCAAACGAATTTTAAACGGCCCGCGAACATATTTCAATTACGTACTTGTTATAAATTCGGTATTTATATAGTTTTAGAGACCTTAGAGACATGGACTGAGCTTTTGCGAGAGTGTAATTAAACGGAGAAACGGAGAGAAACGGAAAGTAATTAAACAATCGACACTTCAATGAATACAATCTAACACTTCAAAAATTTTATATCAGAATCAAGTTTCAGAATGTTAAATTTTTTTAATTAAAAAAGTACAAAAATCATAAGATTAAAAAGAAACTCCAATATAATGTTGCTATGCAGATTTCAGTTTATCGCCTGAAACAGTTATAAGCTAAGCAATTACAACAGACCTAACAGTTTAAGTTCCTTAAATATTAAAAATATAGAGCAAGACATTTTTAATTTTTTTAAAAAAAAGCTGTTTAAAACGGCAAAGAATAATATAGAGCAAGACATTTTTAATTTTAAAAAAACAAGCTGTTTAAAACGGCAAAGAATAATGGTAGCAAAAACGATTGCTGGGGTACTGTTACATTGTAAATCAAAGATATATGAAGACAAGTATACCTATTTAATACAAAAAAGAATTAATTATTCAAGGACGTAGCTTTCATATGTTTCAATCGATGACTTGAGCAGGAAGCATTGAATTATTATTACCTCATTTCTGTTTGCTAGGATGCTCCTTGCAATGAAAACAATAAGCACCTCGAAGACTTTTCCTTCGAAGTGTTTAAAAAAATATTTTAATCAGGCTGATTTAATTAAAGTTAAATGAATTATTTATTAATTTAATTTTACGGATTCCATCTTTCCTCATCTGCGTATTGCTAAACATTTAATTAATGCATGCTTCTTTTTCCTGCATACGTAACTAGCATAAAATATCACACTCTTATCTTACATTATTTGCACACATATGTACTGTTGCCCATTGTCTCAAACAAAACTCTCCAAAACCATATGACCTTTATTTTTATTAATATCAAGTCAAGTGTAAGTTCATATGTAATGCTTAATAATTTTGTTTAATTGAAGCGGCCACGCATAATGAGATGGTTTTTTTTTTATTATTTTTCTCATATAAAAACACTCCTTTGGTGTTAAATCTATCGAAGTTTCAAAATTAGTAAAATATTTATCTAATATATAAAATAATAATAATAAAAAAATAACAAAAATATGAAAGGTTTCAGATTTTAAATTACGTTCAAAGGGGCGTCTTTTTAACATTTTGTCTGTTACCTTTATTTATTAAATATCGCGTTCTTCGCACTTAAACCATAAAATTCAGTTCAAGAGCAATATCGCAAAATAGTTTTAAATCGAGCATATCCCTTTAGAATTTCCGATACAGAGTCTTGCGCGTTGGAGATAAAAATGTTTTTTCTGTACAACGTTGCCATTGCTCGCTTTGATATCCTTGAGTTTGTTAATCAAAAATTCGTTGAAGTTTTACAAAATATGAAATTGATAATAAAACCAAATTCCAAATTTCAAATTTGGGCTTCCACATGCCCATATTCGTAGTAGGATTACGTCATTCAAAATTCAATGGCTCTATGTACCGTATTTTTATCAGAATGCGAGAAATATAATGCAGGACTCATAACATTTGGTGGCAACAGTTTGAAAAGTGAAACGGACATTTATAGTGAACGAACGCAAAATCGCAAAACGAAAATAATAGTCCTTCAGGGACAAAGACCTTTTGGACTAATGCGTTAAAGATTTTAAAAAAAAATTCTTACCAATTTTTACTAAATAATTAACACAGAATTTTTTTTATTTCATTCCTTTCAGTTTTAAGTATAATAAAAATAACTTACATTTTATAACTTTACGCAGATGTGATTGAATAGGGTTTTTGCGTTATGCATATGCAAGCTGTATTTTAATCACGGCATTAAAAATATCAATAATAACAACTTCTACAGAAAAATTTGAAAAAAACTAAACTTTTGAAGAAATTTTAGCTTAAAACTGCTATTTAAAATTAATTAATTAATTAATTATTGTTTATTCCAATTTAACTTTTCTCAAAGTTAATTGGTATAAAAAATGAATAAATCGGATTTAAGTCTAAAAAATTATTCTGGATAGAATTTCCGGAGCTGGAAAATTTTAATGGCTATTAAAAATGTTTTCTCTACTATTTTTAAAGAATAAAAAGTAAATTCTGATATTGAAAAAAAACCTAAATTCTGAGTGAAATCTAACAATATGCAACATGGGAAAGCAGATAAAATTCAGCGAGAATAAAAAACTCAGACCAACTATACCTCTTCCCACATATCAAAAACACATCCTTTCAGTAAAGGTTCAGGCACAGGGACCTGCCAGTTGAATTCGTAGGCTTTCGTCATGATTCCGTGTGTTCCATCTGCAGCAGATCCTTTTCCGAGGTAGAACTGAAAGAGAACAATTTCTTTTGGAAGCCTAACAAGAGACGATATTTATATTTTTAAAGGTAGCGGTAGATCGATGAAATCTTACAAGTGCTCAGGTGCTGAAATCTGAAGATTAATAAAGCCTTTCAATATTTTAGAATGGTGGGAATATATGCTAACTCTAGCGATTATTTTTATGGCTTAACATGGCCACTTTGACAGACTTAGTTCAAAATTGAACAAGGTTGATATAAACTGGTATACCTCTAAAATGTTTATAGCTAACTGTGTCTACGAATTAAAAACTAATATTTCTATTTCATAAATTTGCTGTGCTGTGTCCGGACACAATTTATTCTAGAAGCAAAATTAATTTGAAATTTCTTGATGAGGTAGCCCTTTTTTATAATTTTTTGTGGCAACCAATGGCTGAATGAGTAAGATCATTGAAAATAATAGTTCATTTCTCGACGACAGTGCTTGCTGACTGAGATCTGCGCCGTAATGGATACCCTGTGTAACATGAATACGAGCCAGCAAATTTTCACCTAATAAATTTCTCCATGAAGGATTTTCTGCCTTATGCAGATAATCCTCGGGTGCTTTGATGTATTCCATTAAACAGCAATAACTATCACATCTTACACAGTTTTCTCCTCGTCTTTGGCTTATAATTATTCATTCGCTATTTTTCAACTTTTGGTACCAGAGGCATAGGAGCTGAACGAGAGATTTGTGAAGTGTATGGCGAAGAAATGATGCTTCGTAGGACGGCTCAAAATTGGTTTAAGCTATTCAAAGACGGAGATTCACAGACAGTATTTCTAAAGTCCAGGCACTGAACAGTTTGTTTAAAATTGGGAAGAAGTTGTTAAGACCAAAGGAGAATAAATCATTGATTGTATCTGTTGTTCCTTTAATTACACATAACAATACGTTCGGCTTCCAAGCTGTTCTAGTAATGCTCGCGCTTACAGAAAGTCAGATTTGGAAAATACTATGTTCAAGGAATTGTATTTGTTGCTTTGGATAGCATATGTAGAGTTAATGTTTATCTATAGTGCGTCCAAAGGGGCGTTTCTTTTAACTTTTTGTGCGTTACCTTTATTTATTGAATATCATGTTCTTGAATATCTTGTTTATTGAATATCATGCACTTAGACCTTAAAATTCAGTTCAACAACAATGTCGCAAAATAATTTTCGTATCTTTAGAATTTCCGATACACAGTTCCGCGCGCTTGAGATAAAAAGGTTTTTTTCCCCCGTAGAGTGTTGCTCGCTTTTAAATCGTTGAGTTTTGTTAATCACAAATTCGTTAAAGTTTTACAAAATACGAAATCGATATTAAAACAAATTCCAGATTTCAAATTTGGGCTTTCAGATGTTCATATTTGCAGTACGATTACATCATTCAAAATTTTGATGGCTCTAGGTACCGCTGTTTTATCACAATGCGAGAAACATACATATTTATGCAGATTCTTCAAATATAATACAGGGCGACAGTATTTGGTGGCAACGAATCCATATCATGCAAGAAATAAACTACAGAATGCCATTGATTACATTTCAACCTGGTTTAAAGGATGGAAAATTAAAACTAACCCCGAAATATCAAAAGTAATTTAATTTAAAAAAGGAAATATCAATACTTAAATTACGATGGACGGACAAATCGTGTCACGTGACCACAAAGTAAAATATCTAGGTGTTTATTTCGACCAGAAGTTAACTTTCAAATTTCATGTTAATTATATCAGAGACAAAGCACAACATGCCTTAATGAGCACATATCCTTTGATGTGCAAATATTCGAAGTTAAATATCAACGCTAAAAGAACACTCTATCTACAAGCAATCCGACCCATAATTCTATGTGCCGCTCCGGCGTAGGCAGCTACTGCCCGTTCAAACAGAGCAATGCTTCAAAGTTTTCAGAGTAAAACTCTCAGATTCCTATCGAACTCACCGTAGTTCGTTAGGAACACTGTCAGCCATAATTCTATACAGAGTTTACCATTAGATGTGAATTACTAAAGATTACATTCAAATTCTACGAAAAATGTGATTCCTCATCACGAAGTTATTTAAAAACACTGGGGATACGACTATCTAATCGAACAGCGCATAAACGGCCCAGAACTATACATCATAATGTTAGATGGTAGTTCTTGTATATATTTTATTATTTTCACTATTTAATCTAGATTTTGTTTCATCTTTTCAATTTTCATCAATATGGAACTTGCCCGGTACCAAGGCTGCTGACTTTATCATCATTAAATTCGTATATCACGTGACAGTCTATTTCCCTATGAGTATTAAGATATAGGTACCTTCGCCTCAGACGAAAACAGAAAAATTTCTGGGACTTGTATATATTATTTTCCATTTTTACTGTACGATACTGTGTCAAATCTACAATAATGTGTAAAAGATATGCCATTGCGAAAAAGATAATGCAAAATTATTAGTTGCTATTATTTAAGGTGACCAGATTTTCCGGAGGGCAAAGCGGGACGCAGGGATCCAAATCTGGGTGGTGGGAGAGGAGAGTGGCAGAGGGCGGAAGCGCCTTTACCCCGAAGGTAAAAATACGAAGTGCAAAATTTTCAGTGAAGTCGCATTGTCCTGTAAAACGTCCCATCATTTGCGAACTAGTATGTGTGTTAAATAGACTCTATTACTGAAAGAAAAAATAAAATTTATCCGTATCTCAGACTGAATCAATTATTAAATTAACAATCACGGACTTTTGGATTTGGACTGAGACAACTCAGACGCGCTTTCAGTAACAGCGAACAAAGAATTAAATAAAAAGTAGTCGGAAAATAAAAATTTGTAACTTCCTACGTACTTTACTGCTTGAATGTGCCCATCCAGCACGTGACGCCGCAAATGTATTAATTCGACGCGGACGATGGGCCTTCCTGATCAGCCGCTTACCTAGAAGGATCATCCTGTATAGATGCTCCGTAGACGTATTTCATTGATGAATGAATGCTTCTAAGAGGTTTTGGCTCTTGTAGAAGTATTTTATAGACCTTCTTCACAGGAACTGTCAAACTCAAAATTGCTTGTAGTGTTTCCAGTTTCAACTGTGTCTTTTCGGTTGTCCATATGATATAGACAAGAAAACTCTTTCACTGGCGGTATTTGTCCCTGGAAGACACAACAAAAACTCCACAATTTTCTGGATTTGTACAAATAGCACGTTTTTATCCTTGAAATGACGAAAAATTTTAGCCCATCGACAGTCGAGACTAAATTTCTGACAATTCTAATCTGCAATCTTCCGTGGTGAAGTAATTCGCATAATGTAGCTTACTTCTTCAAATAACTCGTTATCATCGATGTCAAACTTTGGAATCTTCCACCCAAAACGATGCACGCTCTCTTGTACGTTTTCACACGACGGTGGCATCTTTAACGCAACCCAACTAAATGCATTTAGATCTTCGAACTGCTCAACCCTCTCTTTCATATATCTAGCACAGTTGTCGTAAAAATTTACAATGGTTCTTATAATGTCATTTTTTCTCACCAATCCTTCCTCTACCAATTGGGTAATCAGCATACGTACTTCATTTGACAAAAAAGTTTTCTGCTCTTCTCTCAGTACATTTATGTATTAAATCATCCGGTTCAGAAGCTACTTCGAATGTTGTTACAGTCTGTGCTTCTATGTGCGGAATTGCCGCTTGAAACACCGCAGCTATATTATGTACGAAACAGAGCCACAATTCAGCGCAGGCATTCTAAAAAATGTTGCGGATTAGAGTGAGGCACTTCCCTTCCGACAAGAAATGGGATTTCAGTGCAGGAAACAATTTTAAAATTCTTTTTACTTCAGGCATCAGTGATAACCACCTAGTTCTCCCAATGCGCTGGTACTCTACACAGGCAAAGTCGCAAAATTCTTTGAATGTCTCAACACGAACAGTGTAGATACAGAAATAATAATAAATTTTGTAATAACTGCTTCATCAATTTGCAAGCAAGCAATCTCCTGTTGTTTGGATTTCGTTTCGGACGATATGAGAAGCACAACCAGTACCTAGCAGTTTCCTCCCCAGAGCGTCTTGTATTATTGTCAAAACGCTGTTTCTACCTCTTCTTTTTAATAACTCGAAATTCGTGTTAAGGTTCTCTGCTCAGAACCCAACAACCTTTTTTGTCAGACCATGTCGTTGTAATGCATTTAGAAGAAAATTTCAAATCGTCTGTGTTGTCTCTCCAGAAAGAGTTTGCATGTCCAAGATTTTAACTTTCACACCTGACAGTGGCACAAAATATCTCACTATCACAGGAAATAGCTTGACATCCTTATGCTTCGACGCGTCTATAGACCCGTCAAAATTCCGACAATTAATTCTGCCTTGATTGGTTATGACTGATATGGAACAAGTACATTCGGGACAATGATTCAATGTTGTCCGTGCGCAAGTGATTTTGGACTTAAAACACTTTTGCATTAATTTGGAAGTACAGTCCATCGACCTAAAGCTGCGATTGTGATAAATCGTGTGGTACGCAAAGGTATCTTCTGTAGCAGCCAACCGAACTTCCTTTTCACCTAGCTCGGATCTTGAAAAATAGTTCGTAATTGTACCTGACGATCCGACAATTTCAGGGCGTTTGTGACGATCGTATCAATGCTTCTTATATCTCACGCCCCTGGAGCGACGGAAAATGTGATCCCATTGTCGCACCTAACGTAACTATCAGTGTTGCTTCTAACCTTCATTATGAATGGAATCTCGCCTTGTAATTCCTCGTTGAATTTCGACTTTCGTTTTGGCATGACTGATGCTCAATGGAGACTCAGGTAAATGCCACTCATATATGAAAAAAATAAATAATCACCGAACACCACTTAATGAATGATGATCCCCGATTTCCCCAAAACGAAAACAATAGTCCCTCAGGGACAAAGCCCCTTTGGACTAATAAACTTAACAAACAATCGAATTCACATGAAACGCAAAGGCATAACCTTGTTCTTCTACCAGCTAGACA